AACTAGTTCAACCACTGTGGAAGACTTGTGGCGATTCCTCAAGGATCTAGAACTAGAAATACCATTTGACCCAGCCATCCCATTACTGGCTATATACCCAAAGGATTATAAATCATGCTGCTATAAAGACACATGCACATGTATGTTTATTGTGGCACTATTCACAGTAGCAAAAACTTGGAACCAGCCCAAATGTCCATCAATGATAGACTGGATTAAGAAAATGTGGCACATTTACACCATGGAATACTATAAGGATGAGTTCATGTCCTTTGTAGGGACATGGATGAAGCTGGAAACCATCATTCTCAGCAAACTATCATAAGGATAAAAAACCAAACACTGCATATTCTCACTTATAGGTGGGAATTGAACAATGAGAACACTTGGACACAAGAAAGGGAACATCACACACTGGGGCCTGTCATGGGGTGGAGGTAGGGGGGAGGGATAACATTAGGAGATATACCTAATGTAAATGACAAGTTAATGGGTGTAGCAAACCAAAATGGCACATGTATACAGAGGTAACAAACCTGCACGTTGTGCACATGTACCCTAGAACTTAAAGTATAATAAAAAAATTAGTTAAAAATAAAACAATTACTTAAAAGCTAAATTGGTGGGGCAAGAACAGACAAGGGAGCAGTAAATGAATTCTATTTTGGTCACCTTGAGTTTTGAGTGTGTACTGAAAATCCAATGGGTGCAGGGGGAGGGTCGTCAAGCAAGGACATAAAAGGGCAGGACATGTCTGCCTAGGTTAATTCATTTAACAAAGATGTGTTAGGCACCTGTAGCAGATACCAGGCGCTAGCTTCTTCCTTAGAGGTACAAATATGTTTAAGGAATCTTCCTTCCATTGAGAGCTGAGGATGAAGATATTCAGAGTGGAGTGGGTCTGAAGTGGCTGTTGGGGAAGGTTTCTACTGAAGGCATTGTTCGTATTTCCCACACCTTAGCCCTTCACCACATTTCTTCTTACTTTCATAAAATCTGCCCTTCTGACGACCCTTTCTCATTTTTTTTTTGCTACTTCCAGATGGCAGATAAGGTTGACTGGTTACAAAGCCAAAATGGAGTATGCAAAGTTGATGTCTATTCTCCTGGAGACAACCAAGCCCAGGACTGGAAAATGGTAAGGGTCAACCTCTTAATAAACACTAGGTTAAGAATATGGGGGCGGTCATTAAGAGTGGCCTTATTCTCTCCACCATACCACCAACCTCTTATTTTTCAAGGTGGGATTCTTGAGGCAGGTGGGAAATCAGCCCCTATAGAACAAAACATTCCGATTTATAGTTTTCTGGAAAAAATTCCCATCCTATGGTATTTAATATGCTATAACTAATGAAACATATATGTACACATGAGCCGTATATCATATATGTATATATAAATATGTATATGTCAGCTGTATATTACAGCTATAAAATTTTAATTTTCAAACAGAGAGGAATTGGAGATAAATGTCTCCAAGGCTTATAGAAAATATTTTCTAAAATGTAGGATGCCTTAAAATTCTCAGAACTATAAACTGTCATCTAAGTAACATTGTCATCCTGCCTTCATCATTCAACGAACATTTATTAAATGCTTACTTAGTATAAGGCAATGTATTAGTCAGGGTCTAGTTAGAAGATAGAAACCATACCAGTAACTTAACATTTAAAAATTATTTACTAATAAAACATAGTTCACTACTAAAAGGCATAAAAGAGGACTCTAGGAATCCCAGAAATAACAAATGCAGAAAGCAGCTACTACCCCCAGGCTGAGATTACATAAACAGGGAAGAAACTAAGTAATACTCACAAGAGCTCCTTCTCCTTCAACCAAAGCTGCTTCCCATCTCTTTGGAGAGAATGTGGCTGCCACAGGAAACTTGCCAGAGGGAAGCCCTTTCCTCCTGCTCTGACCACGCAGTGTCCCCTAGTACCCTCTGTCGACAAAGCCAACTGCAAAGGAGAAATGTTTAGGGTTCAGCTCTGGTGTCACAAAGCAAGGCAAAGAAAGGTGGATTTGGAGTGAGAGACAGTAAATCAATAACTGGCACAGAGACTGTCCTGACTGTCAGGGTCAGAGATATAAAAATAAACTAGAATCCTCTCCTTTTAAGGATCTCATAATCTAATGGAATCACTATTATTAATAGACTCTTTGTACTATTACAACATTTATCAGACTGGGCACAGTGGCTCACACCTGAAATCCCAACTCTTTGGGGGGCCAAGGCAGGAAGACTGTTTGAGCCCAGGAGTTGGAGACCAGCCTGGGCAACATGGCGAAACTCTGTCTTTACTTAAAAAAGAATTAGCCAGAGTGGAGGCATGCCCCTGTAGTTCCAGCAACTTGAGAGGCTGAGGCAGGAGAATCACTTGAGCCCAGAAGTTTGAGGTCGCAGTGAGCTATGACCATGCCACTGTGCTCCAGCCTGGGCAACAGTGAGACCCTGTCTCAAAAAAAAAAAAAGTTAACATTTATCAAACATTTATTTGCATGTAATCAAATGCAAATGACCCGTCTTCTTCTATTTGTCCAAATCTGGCCGATCTATAGAAAGTTTTAAAGAGAAAATGCTAACAAATCTACATAAGCCATTAAGACAGAAAGATAATAAATATTCAATTACTATAGAGTGAGGGCCAACCAAAACTGCTTCTACTAGATCTTTGTTTACTTCTGCCCTTTCATTTGGAGAAACAAAAGGCAGATCAGTTTCAATGTTAAATCAAATGAACTTAGTGATTTTTCACTAAGTGAGAAACAAGAAAGAATATAACAATTACTGCCCCTCTGAACCTTATCATTCATTTTGGAAAATAAAAAATACGCATATGAAAGTAGAAATGTCAGTGAGCGTAGCGGCTCCGGCCCCGAGAGCAGATGCCACGGCCCCCACCACCACTGCCATAGACTCGCTCTCGTCCTCTGGGCCGCGCCTGGGGCTTCAGCCCGCGGCTCCGCTTGCCGCGTCTCAGGTTTCTTTACCTCCAGAAAGAACAAAATTGACCCATTGAATTCTGGAAGTTCATTGAAGAGTCTGAAATTAGGAACTTATTTCAAATTTGAACAGGGCTAATCGAGGCACAAGAAGACCCAACGGCCCAAATACTGGACATAAAATATGCCAGTTCAAACGAGTACTTCCGGGAGAGTCTGCTCTTGGCAAACCAAGCCTAGTGCTTCGTTTTGTGAAAGGCCAATTTCATGAATTTCAAGAGAGTATCATTGGGTTAACTCTCGATGTGGTAAAAGCTGTTTCTTTGTGAAATACGGGCCCAAAAAGAAAACCAACTGCTAGTGCTGGTGATGGAAGTGAAGAGAAAATGAAGAGATCTAAGAGTGATGATGGTTCTTAGCCAGAAAATAGACATTTTGGATAAATTAAAGTGGTTTCACAGGTTCAGCTGATTTTCGAACCCAAACTGTGTGTCTTGATGACACTACAGTATAGTTTGAAATATGGGATACAGCTGGTCACGAACAATACCACAGCCTAGCACCAATGTACTGCAGAGGAGCACAAACAGCCATCGTTGTATACGATATCACAAATGAGGAGTCCTTTGCAAGTGCGAAAAATTGGGCTGAAGAACTTCAGAGGCAAGCATGTCCTGACATTGTAATAGCTTTATCAGGAAACAAGGCTGACCTAGCAAATAAAAGAGCAGTAGATTTCCAGGAAGTACAGCCCTATGCAGATGACAATAGTTTATTATTCATGAAGACATCAGCTAAAACATCAATGAATGTAAATGAAATGTTCATGGCAATAGCTAAAAAATTGCCAAAGAGTGAACCATGAAATGCAGGAGCAGACTCTGCCAGAGGAAGAGGAGTAGCCCTTACTGAACCCACACAACCAACCAGGAGTCAGTGTGTAGTAATTAAACCTCCAGTTGGAACTAGCTGGATTAGTCTTCTGCTTCCTAAATGTTAGTAACAATGCAACTGGACCATTTAACCAGCCCAGTGTGACTTCCAAAAGAAGAGACTTATGATAGAGTCAAGTTTCTAATACAGAATTATTTTACGTGTTTTGAACTTAATTTTTAATAACATGCATGGGTCCCTCTTACTAATGTTACAGCAATAAGGAAAAACAAGGACTATGTGTACATTTGGTTTCATTGGAAGGTTGGGGGAATAATTTCTTATCACTAGGGATATAGGCAAATGACTATCTGGACCCGCAGTTAACCAGCCCATTTCTCCACACTGATACAGTAGTCACCTGTGAAAAAAATTTAGAATTTACTAATTTGGGCTTTTCAAAAACATTCTTTTTGTAGAAGGAGACTCTAAAGTTATTTATGCTTAGCCGTAGTATTCAGGCAAATGTTCATTTTCTCCTGGTATCAGTATTTAAAATGAATATTCCATATTTTAATAAATTATGCCACATATACAAGGTGGGGGGTGGGTGGAAAGAGCGTTAATGGCATCTAAATTATAGCCAGTCCTGTTTTTTGTTTTTTTTTTCTTAATAGGGTAAAAAAAATGAAATGCAACCCCATCTTGTTTTAGGAATTTGAGAACTAATAAATGCATCTTAATGGATAGTGTTTCTTTCAAACATGTGAGTTCTTTAACAAAAATGAAATAAGCCAGGTGTCTGTGATTTCTAATTAATCACTGCTGGCCATGACATAGGTTTTGTTGTTTGATGCAGGGAGGGGACTTCCGTTCGCTTGTGACACAATGTAGTCAATGCACTAACAATTATGTATATTTAAACTTCATTATTTTAAATTCCATCTTCAGCTGTACTGTCAATAGGGTACTGCAGTATAGTCTCCATATATGTATCGCTTTTCTGTAATGTTTAAGAGTTGCTTAAAAGTATACAAAATGTACAGTTACTAAAACAGCCTATTGTTTCTCTCTCCCCCTTTGACAGGAAGGGGCTTCAGTTGTTCCTCCATGACTAGAACCATAACGAACAATGTACCCATAATTTGTAACATAAAGTATTGCAATTTGTTAGTAACAATCTTGCAGCCTTGTTTTCCAACCTTCATTTAATTTTGATCAGTTCAGTATATTGCACTAATTATTTTCGGTATTTTCCTTATATGAGAGCTACCATGTGTCAGAGACGATTTAATCTATGTAGGTGTTGGACTGTTAGGAGAACTTGTACATTTACAATAATGCAGAATTAGGAAAA